TAATAGGCTAAAGGTGAACAAAAGTTAGTTAAAAAATATCTTAAACGTTTTGTCGTTTTTATCTTTTAAATTTTAAATGCGTGGTAATGCATTATTTTAACCGATTTTTACATACATGCATTCTTACAGGTCGATCGGTAGGTAAAAACATTGTTACCCATAAATCACATTCAATTTGGGATAAGCCGTATTTACTCGTATTTTCAAAAACTACAATAATTGAATAAAACTATTATTTACGGATTTTATCGCGTTTAATTACAACTTTAATTTATTTTTATTATCCCGACGTTTCGTTTTGACGTCCCAATGTCATAGTCAAACATGTCCGTGACCATGGGTGCTGTAAAGCACCCGAAACGTAAAAAACGTTAAAATCATAGTTTTATTCAATGTGTAGTGTTCGCGTAAATTTAAGAAATCATTAACTACAATAATGGTACCTATATCAATATTTACATATCTGAACTTAAGTTTAAAATTTAGCTAACCTTTGAAAATAACCTCTTTTGAAAAAATAGATTTAATTAAAATAATGAAGCACTGAAGTGATGATTCTGTACTTAAATATTTTTGTGACCCGTGTGTTTCTGCCTTTTTACCATGAAGGTTTTATAAATGCTGTCAAAATGGCTGTTGTTAAAATAACTTGAATATGCACCTTTAAATCATAAGCAAAAATTACTTCGAATTTTAAATACAGAATTTTAAGAACTGGGTACGCAATGAACTGACCCCATTCCCACGTTCTCGACACTACCGCCCTGGTTACGATGGTGCTTTCCATGCCATAACATTTAACAAGATCTATTTGTTTATTTGTAAAATCTAGAGATTTCTAATTCTCATGAAATTCGCTCCCACATAAAACAAAGGACTAGTGCTTGTGAATGTGTTAAGATTTAAGATGACTTGAACTGCTTACTTGATCAAAAGCGGTATAATGATTTTTTATATTTAGGCGAACACGACACATTTCACAGTACGCGATCAAACCGGGTTCGATCCCCGCCGCCATCAATGAAATTTTTAATTCCAATTTTAAGTGCTGATTTACCACGTGCTCAGCGGTGAAGGAAAACATCGTGAGGAAACCTGCATTTTTGAGGAATAAGAAAAAAATTCTTATATCTATGTTTTCACGTGAAGTTCGCCAACAAGCATTGGGACAGCGCGGCGGACAATTACTTGCCCTAAAACCCTCTCAGAAATGAGCGGGAGTCCTGTGCCCAGAATGGGGACGTATATAGGTTGTAACGTTTTCCCGATGTTTCAAGTATTTTACAGCAGCCATGTTCACGGGGGGTACTGAGGTGTTCAACGTCCTAATGTCATAGTTAACCAAGGCTACCTTCAGTTTATAATAAGTTAATATACGTGATAAAATCCGTAAAACTAAGCGTCACTTAAACGAAAGCAGTAGTTAGTCAAGTAAGTGAATTTGTTTACCTAACAGAAGTCGTTTTTGAAATCTAGTCTTATAGAATTCAATGTTATAATATGTATTATCTACGGCTAGAAACAAAAAAGATGAAAATGGTTAATTTGCTAAGCTAACCAAATAGTACAAGTAAGAAAGAGGAATAAACGCACTCCTTCCATCCGTAAATTCGATATTAAATATTATATGCAATGCATCTAAAAAGAAGGTAGAAAGAGAAGGTTTTAGGGCAAGAAGGCCACTACACGGTCTTCGGGATATATATTTTTTAATAACTTACATACGATTTTATTCTTCACCGAACAACACTTAAAATGTAATAATCCACCTAGAGTTATTACGGACCATAGACTAGAAGTTTATAGATCAGTAACTCTACTGTATTACGTATACAACTCTATCATTTATCGAGTCGAGATAGCAGCTAGGTTAGTTATAGGAAAGGTAAATAAGAAATTACCGCAAGGAGGAATTTAAATGGCATCATTGCATAAACCAACATACACGGAATAATTTTACCTTAATTGAACTGTTTATAATATGAATTTAAATTTTATATGATACTTTTTAAAAATTTGAAAATTTTATAATTTTGAAACAGTTAATACCTACTGATGGTATGTTAAAGTGAATTGAGGATTATTATAATTTATTAAAGTGGCATATGGTGACATTTCGTCATGCAAATAATGTATATCATTACGTGTCGAGGGTAAGAATCGACTGAGACCTATCAAATAATATGTCGAATACCAGAGAGATCTTACGTTGATCGACAAGCCCCTTCCCGTGCCCATGTTCAGGAGTAGAATTTGCTGGCCGATGACTAAGAAGAAGATGATGAAGAATAAAAGTCAAGATAAATTTGTAATGCATTGAAAATAATAATTTAACAACAAAGTACAGAATAGTATTCTCCAGACCGAATTTCGGTCACGGCAGCCAGTCTTAAGTTCTTTCTGCGCAGGAACAGAATTCAGTGCCTAAGTTTTTGCTTAAAATACTTTCACCCTCTATTCCCTCACTTTAATAGTCTGATGGGACGGTTATCGGACACGACCGGAGAGAGATCAGGTGCAGAACGTACGAAAACGCAGAGGCTTTACGTGCTTTTCAAGCACGGGGGTGAAACGTACAACTCAGGAAGTTGGCAGTGCTGTCCGGTGCTCGGGATGTTACTAAGAATTTCTTGATAGAATAACCCAATAACAAATTTCAGCCCGAATCTGGATTCGAACCCGGGACTTCATGAGCAGTAACTAAACACTACACGAACGAGGCAGTTAATGTACAGGGGCCGCAAAGCTAACATGATTAAAACAATTTTATGGTAATTTTTCTCTTTTTTCGTAATAATACTATGTATGATTAATGAATACGGTGCTTAGATAATCACATCTGGTAAACGTGCCTTCTAATAGTATGAGTAACCTCAAATTAGGGCAATAGGTGTTTCAACTATCCTGATGATGGTTCAAAGACCTCGGTGTTCTTAGAAAGCACTTAAGAATGTCTTATCTTATATGAAATGAGGTTTTCCTTTCATTGTTTGAATTCTTTCGCATTATTTGAGAACTATGTGAAACAATAATATGTGATGTAACAAATTCACTTTTTAAAAAAAATGTATGTGGCAGACTATGAACATTTGCAGCCAACTAACAAAGAAGGTTACATGCATGTGGTCATCTGAGGACTAAAACGGAATGCTTCATAGTCTGTAACTGTCTCTATACTCTTTAGACCATAACACATCATGCTTGCACTGCTATTTCACGGCAGATATAGCTACCTAGTCTGACAGACTCCTAAGCAAAAACGGAGCTCCACCGCCTAGTAAAATAAGTGTTTTTAACCGACTTCAAAAAGGAGGAGGTACTTAATCGAACTGTATTTTTTATATCTTACCTCAGAACTTTTTTCCAGGTGAACCGATTTTGACGATTCTGTTTTATTTGAAAGCTGGTACTTTTCATGTGGTTTTTTTTATTTATTTATTTAATAAGGCTTACCAACTAAATACATATAGAAACAATTATTATGAGGTGCACTTAAAAAAATTGTATATATGCATTTAAATTAAAGGTAAACACAACATATAATAAAAGACTTCCTTTAAGGAGAACAGTAACCTATAAAACTATCACTACAATAAAATAATAAAATTAGAACAAACAAAAAAACCTATCTTATATAATGTATAAATGGAAAAAAAAGAGAGGAAGTACAAAAACTTTTAAAATGAAAAAAATTATTTGGCTGTGTAATGTGTTAGTATCTTCCTCTTTAAAACATTTAAGCTATCAAAATGGATATCCACATCACAATTTTGAAATGTTGAATTGAATGCATTCAACAAGGATGATAAAGGTGTGTTTCTGCCATATTCATTACGACTCTTTTTAATATGAAACGTTTTTGAGTTATTATTAATAATACGTATTTAACAATTGACTTCTACTACATTGATGTTGTTCTTATTTTAATTATAATGAAGTCGGATGTACATTTTTTTAAATTATACCACTTGTTATAGAATAAATGTGAAAAACGAGTACACAGTTCACCTGATGGTAAGTGGTTTCTGTGGTCAATAGACATATACATCTATCCTCAGTTAAGAATAAAAATACAGAAAATACCTCGTTTCTAGCAAAAAGCGTAAATAGCAGCATTAAGCAGCTATTTTACGCTGGTATATTGTGAGAGCATGCTTCATCCCCGGTCGAGCTGACCCACTCGTGCTGCAACTATAATATAGCCATGCTGCAGCTATATTAGTAGTATAGTTGTAACACGAATGGCTCGACCGAGGAAGGATCACCCTCTCACAGAATACCATCGTAAAATAGCAGCTTAAAGCTAGTGTATTTCGTTTGGTGAGTGTTGAGAACCGGAGACCTTTTTAATGTAAACGAGGCATTATATCTTAGTCCTCATGGGTGACAACGTATTTTGATTCATAATCGAGGATAAATGTAGTTGTCTATGGGCCAGAGCAACCACTTACTATCTGGTGGATTGTGTGCTCGTCTGATACCCTTATCTTATAAAAAGTCTGCCAGTTTTGAGGATAAAATATAGCCAAGATTACTCCTAGCAATGCTCTCTATCTGTTAGTGAACTTTCATTATAATCAGTTTTTTTCGAAGATTAGCCCGTTAATAACCCTCTCAACACAACATGAAGCAGCTATTTCGATGTTACATACAGGACACTACAATTATATATAAAAAAAAAAAAAAAAAAAAGTATACATCTATATAGTGTGTTGGGTTTGTTTTCGAAGATTTTTGTTTAGTAATATTTGTTTTAATGTCAACCGACTTCATATTGCTTGTAACACTTTCTTGACCAGTATTGACTCATCGCTAACACAAAATTTTGGCAATAGTAGTCTTAATTTATTAAAATTTTATACCACCTCTTCAAAATCACGAGGAACCTAATGTTTCTGATACACTGGCGGATTTTTTGTATGCGCATGTAACCAACAACCAAAACAATAAAACGCTGAAAACACCCTCCTTTTAGCACTTTTAACGTAATTAGCACTCACCACAAACAGAAAGGCGATCGCAAGCCGCATTTCTCTATCGAACTTTCACTGTGAACGCGCTCGGTAAGTGCATGGTGGATACGACCGTTCGCCACCGCGTCTGGTCACCAACTGGCGGAAAGCGGGGCTTTCGCAGTGCCCCGTCAAGGACTGCATCAGATGCACTTGATTTTTAATAGCAATCGAGAACCCTAAAGGAAAAGTAACCTGTACACTTGTCTCTAGTCCGACGACTGTCCATCAGTAATATCGACCGTTGTGTTTAATATGGTGATACAAGATCACGGCACTTTGTAACAGTTTCCCAACGCGGGATCGCTTGAGGCACTTCCGTCGGTAAATCTCGGAATCTATCTGTATTTATGCCATTTCTTCTATATCTGTAAGTTATGATGCCGTTAAGTTTGGTGCAATGTTGTCTAAGGGCCCACTGACAATATTGAGTTGTTTATGGATGTTCATAATCAATTTATTTCTTTTTCTTGATAGTATAATGTTACTCGATCTTCATAAATATTTATTTTACTGTATTCTGTTAAAAATAATTATTGTATAGATTTGCATAGGAACCTGATCTTAATCGATTTTAAAACATTGCATTACACGCGTTATTATTTCTGCACGGTCTGATATATTGACATTTTCTGTGCTTGCTGTATTTAGAGCAGACTGCGTGCTGAATATTGATGGGGTGTTTAGTAAAGATTAAATTACCAGTTTGAACATATACAAGATGTCAACGTGTAGTTTAAGTATCGAGATTCGAGTATAAACATTATAATGGTATGTTTCTCATAAGTTTGAGTTTGGATGACGTTACACGGTCATTTATTTGGAAGAAAGTCAACTTCGGTAACGCCTACAGATGTAAATAGAGGGACCTAATAATTTACTATAAAGTAATTCCAACCTAATCATTTGCTTGTTGACCCTTTTAGCAAAGAATAATTACATTAGGTATTACCTCACAGTGTTTTTTTTATAGCATAAGGGTGACAAACAAGCACACAGTACATCTAATGGTAAGTGGATGGTGTGGCCCATAGACATTTACATTTAATCTCAACTAAGAATCAAAATGCAGATGCGTTGTTACCCTTGAGGACTAAGATGGAATGTCTTGATTCCAGTGAAGCGGGCCTCCGGTTCTCTACACTCACCATAGGAAACATACCGGCATTAAGCTGCTTTTTTACGCTGGTGTTCTGTGAGACCGTGGTCCTTCCCCGGTCGAGCCGACCCGTTCCATAATATACCATAATATAGCTGATCTTTCATACACTAAAAAAAAAAAATTTTTTTACTAATTATTGTATAGTATAGTAACTAGTGCTGGACTACAATAAATAAATTAAAAAAAAAACAATAAATCGTTTGTCAATTTTTTTTCCAAATCAACTACCTCCGTTTCAAAATGAGGTTCCTTATACCGGAGAAGAAAAGGCGAAAGAAACTCCGCTGGTATTTTTTATTTATTTATGGAAACAGTTCGGTTTCTGAATGTCTGTATACCACAGAAGTGTCTTATCTCTGAGAGTGGTTTACGTAGATAATTAAATAATCTTGTTCTATCAATTATAAGAATTTGTGGCACGAAACTTTCATGTACGTAATATACACTTAACCGATTTTTATTACTCTCTCTATCTATATAAAACACAAAAAGCTTAGCGGTCAGCCATCGCAGTGTCTACATCCCTTGAGGATGCCTCGTGTACTCGTGTAGAACCGAAACACGTGTCGTATTATTGACGATGGTGTGTCTTTTCTAGATTAGTGATGTTGTGAGTAGTGGTGCTGCGATTAGTGGTGGCGAGATTAGTGCACGCAATTGGGAGGTTGATGTGATTTTATTGAGCGTGATGTGTGATTAATTCTTAGCAACTGTAACAAAAGATGTTCCTACCTATGACCGTTAAAGACTTTGAAACCATCCAAACGATATTGATGATTTTTTGGTGTTTTTGAATGGGTCCCTAGATATAAACCATATTAGAAGTTATTAAACATTTGGACATGGTAGGTGGCGCTATTGTCGAGATCCAGAAATCACCCGTGCGAAGCCGGAGAACATCGCTAGTTTATTATAAAAAACAAATCTACTTTTATTTATTAAGTACTTATTTTTCTAATTATACCGCTAGTATATTATGTGCCACATATACTAGCGGTACAAACAAAATGAAAGTTGAATACGAATTTATTTATTTTTTATAAAAAATCGATCATTTTAAGTTCTTGATGCTAATCAACAAGATCAATTTTTGTTTAATAGAACAATGTTAACATTATTAGAGACCTAAGAATTTCTGCCATTTTCAGGGTCGGATTTACGTTAAGGTGAAACCTCGAAAATTTGGTGGTTATCCTACTTCACATATTTTTTAAATGTTATAGATTACGAACCAAATTTTTGGTATATGATTTTTGATTACATTTCCTTGGATTTCATAAAAGGAAAACACGATAATATGTAATTTTCTATTAATAAATAATGCAAAGTACGCTCTAAGCGTACTTTGCATTTTTTCCCATCGAGATTTAGATAACATTTCTGCATGACAGCACAATATTTTTACGAATAAGTTCATGGAATTATTTATAAGGCATACTAGATAATCATGTCTAAGTTCTCATAAACCATTTTTTAATCCATAACAAAGTATTGTTAAAAAAATATAAAAATGTTGTTTGGCGCTTACTTGTTTTTTTTTCCGAGCGCGTGCTCTGTATAGCTATCTCGTATTATGTGTATTTTCATGATGTCTTTGCATGTCATTGCATCACTTTCATTGTGACATTCCTTCACCTCGGTCGTCCGTGAGCTTCACCGACAAAGGGATAAGCCACGCCCCCAAAACTACGATTCATTTTCTGCCGCCCTGGGGCACCGTGCAAAATACCGCCCAGTTACCTACGTCCTGCTCCTGCATTAATTGAGTAAAAATTTGGTTAGCCGACAAGTATACAACAACTAATGATTGAAAAAGGATATTAATTCTTGAATAACTACATTGAATTTAATCAAAAAAAAATTATGTACTTTATACTCGGCTTCGAAACGTGAAGATCCAATGAGAACTCGGTAATCGGCATCGAACCAATAACTTCCCAATTTTTGAAAATCATTGATTTTCATTATAGAAAGTTAAAAGATATTTTTCTCGCACTCCAAATTTTGCCGCCCTTATTTTGGCTTAAATCCATTTGTACTGATATCAGTTCAACTGATCAGTTTAACTGACCATGTGTGTCGTCCATAAGTCTGCACCAATTCCATTGTTAATGCAACTTTAAGTGCATGGGCGTGACGGAAAACAACATGAGGAAACCTGTATGTCTGAGGAATAATATATTGCGAATTGCGATTAAATGTGAAATCTATCGACAAGCACTGGTAATTATGCTATGCTCTCTCCGAAATGAAAGGAGGTTTTTGTACATCAGTGGGACGTATATAGGCTGTAAATTTAGACCTAAAGACGGTGTATCTTTGTATGATAAAAACCCCTTGAATATTTAGTTTCCAATTTTATGAATATACTCATTATAGTTCTTGAGTTAATAAGGTATCACTTATTGATTCACTAATTCAACAAGTAACTCATCTAGGCTGCCTGGGCCTTTTTCAGGTATTTTTATATAGTATAAGGACAACAAACGCGCACATAGTCCACTTAACGATAAGTGAGTGCTGTGCACCCGGCCCATAGACATCTACATTTATTCTAAGAATCAAAATACAGACGCGTTTTCACCCCTGAGGACTAAGATGGAATGCCTTATATCCTGTAAAAAGGATCTCCGGATCTCTACACTCACCAAACGAAACACAGCAACATCAGGCTGCTATTTTACGCTGGAATCTGTGAGAGCCTGGTCCTTCTCCTATGGAGCCAACCCATTCGTGCTACAAGCATAATATAACTGCAAAGGTAGAACATTAGATGTATATAAAGGAAAAATCAGAAACTACAAATTATTTTTATTCGGGGACGACTAATGTTGACAAAGATATTGGGACAGTTAATTTAAAGTTAAATAGTTGCTTTAATTATGAAATCTATAGGAATGTACAACGAACTTGGAGCTGCTATGAAGCTTGGCACCCGCTTGGATAACAATGTTTATCGGCGTAGCCAATAACCCCGAAAGTCATTTGTACTGAACTTGTCCCATTTTTACTTATTTGTAAATGTTTTGTGTAAACTTTTATCATTATTTAAAGTACGGTCAAAAAAATAAATTCCCATTGTGTCTTTTTCGCGGACAGGAAAACTGTTAAAATAATATTATGTAAAGTACGGTTATAGCAGTAAATATTGAAACACATCACCAATCACCATATATATATACGTGAGTATCATATATGTTTGTGCGTGAGGGTAATATGGTCATACTGTTAATATGGTCACTTTTTTATAACTCAAAAACTACAACCTTATTTGCATAGAAGGCTATTATGATACCGTAGCTTTTCATCAGTCATTCAAATAATAAAGGGTCAAAAGAGCGCTGCTTTATTGACGCCATTTTAACAGTTGATATTATAGTAAATATTTTAGTCGATTTTAGTATGACTTTATGTAGTTCGTTTTTATTAAGTTGATTTTTCGAAATGTTCCTAATTATTGCCAAAGCTTGTTTAATGATTTCTTATATTTACGCGAACACTATACATGATTAAAACTACTTTTACGGATTTTATCGCGTTTATTTTTATTGGGGGACTCCCCAGTCCCCCGTGACCATGGGTGCTGGAAAGCGCCCGAAACGTCGGGAATTAAAAATAAAAGTAAATAAAAAGTAAAAATAAACGCGATAAAATCCGTAAAAGTAGTTTTAATCAAAGCTTGTTTGTTATTTTTTTATTCATATATTAGTTATAGTACCTATAAGACTATGTGTTTTTGTATCTACCCTCCTCCTAGTTTTGGTTTTATAGGGCGGCAAAGCTTAAGGTGACCATATTACCCTCATGTACTTTATATATATAAATTACGTGTCACGTTGTTTGTCCGCGATGGACT